AGGCCATATTTCGATTCCATTATTCACTGAAATCGTGCAAGAATTATCTGGATAGTGATAATGGTAGTCATTTCATATAGTTTTTTAGCAGTTTTTTTAAAAGTCTAAATGATTTTGTACCATGACATCAGCGTAGTTATTTGAATAATTAACATAAAAAACAGCTTGCTGTTTAATTTTTGTTCAGTTTCAAATAATTTGATCATTTGAGTTTTTTCAGCATGTTTCTTGAAAAGTTAAGCTTTGCACTGTCAGCATTTTCAAATTGAAATGTAAAACTTATTTTTTATGAAAAATTAGTGATTCGATTAGCGGTAAAATTATTATGACTTTCTTTAAATGGTTCCTAAAAACAAAAACAAGACTGCTCGTATCAGGCCGAAGCCCTGATTGTTCCGACTGCCTTTTGAGTTGTATGGAGAAGTAATAACATGAAAAAATTAAAATTTGAGATTTTTTGCAAAACCATCCCCCCGCACGCCGTATAAATTGTGATAGATTTCGCTCCTAGTAACAACTCAAGTATGGCAAGTACGCTTAGTTCAACCAATTTGGAACGACTTCTATGGTGGATTAAATCTTCGCTTACGCGTTAATAGCCCGAAATATATCCCGCGTTAATTGTCGCAAATGGGCCGAAATGGCAATCTTCTAACTCCCATAACTTTATTATAAATGATACCTTTTGAATGGTAATAACTGTACGACAGCCCCGTCAACTTAACGACAACAATATCTTTTGAATGATATTAGAAAATTCCGTAAAAAATGGCTGGCTAAAGTCGAAATTTGTCTGAAGAAAAAACCCACCCGAGCACAAATATTCCGTTACGAAAGACGGAACAATAAGTAAACAATGGATCAGATTAACACTCTTTCCAAGTACATGTTCATGACTTGAGATATTTCACTAATTTGTAAGGTTGAAAAAAAAAGAACTAGCGCTACTAGACTTAATTCTTCTGAGCATGATTATTCTACTTTTTTAGGGTACTTTTTAGGTACTTACTTTTTAGGATTTTCTTGGGATGTTGTCGGTGGGGACTGGTGTGGGGGTTGCTGATTAGCAATTTTAGAAAAAATTACAGAATTGAATTTTTTTATGAAGAATTTTTATGTTTACTATAGTATTATTCAATAAAAAGAAATAAAAGAATGGTTGCTAAAGCAAAAGTGATGATTGCCTTTCTTATAAATTTGCACATTGTCATTATGAGTGATGTTAAAAATGTGAGAAAAATTATGAATATTAGAAAAATATCGGTTCTACTAAATAGGGTTCGAAACAATTAAGTAGATATTGAATTATCGTAGGTACTGAATTAGGTACTTTTTTCTTTCACCTAAATCAGTGATACGGGCAAAATGCTAGTTAGCAGGTTTTCTCAGCAGAGCTTTGCAGCAGTGGTGACACACAAAATGAGGTGAAAGTAGGCTGCTTAAAAATTTACAGGGCGCAAAAAATGTTATGGTTACTTTAAGTTTCCATAAAAGTTCTAACAAATTAATCAGTAGAGGGAAACTTTACAGGGAAAAAAACATAACTTTCCCAGTCGAAAATGAATTCAACCCAATTTCATTCAACAGTTAACAATTTACCATGACAATTTCGAGCTGAAACAAACGCGAAAGAATCTTCAGCAAACCATCATTTCTTTTGGCAGTTTTCCTTGAAGCTCGTTCAAAGAAATTTTGGTTTGAAGAAAACAAACACTAAACACTTTCGGCACAAAATGAAAATTAAATGGACCCTTCCCAAATACTGCGAAATACTTATTAAAAAAACCGATAGGTGGTTGATCAAATAGTAACAAAATTAATCAAAAACTGGCGTGAATTAGACCCGAAATGATAATATACTCACCGAAGTTATTCTTTTTTATTTGAATTTGGATATTTTCTCTTACAATGGCAGGTTGTTTCTGCCGCCTTAATAAATAAATCAGTTGAGTATAAGCAAGGGCAGATTTAGTCGGGGCCATTTTTTCCATCAGAAATTTGATTTTTAGAGCAGCAAACCCATTTGATGACTTGGGATTTATTATCTACTTTTTATTCCATTCCATTGGCAATTGAGCGTTAGTAGCAATCAAACCGCAGACATAACGTTAATACGAACTTAACGAGCTTAAACGAGAAAAAAAAAGATTTTTTTTCTCAATAATCATTTGACATATAATTCTCTGTCAAACTTTTGCAACATAAGATTCTTCACAAGATTTCAACAGCGAACCCATTTTTTTTTTCAACATTAGCTTCCTAAAATTTCAACATTAGCTTTTTTCAATATTTCAGTGAAAAACAATCAAGCCAACCCTTAACTTAACGTAAATTGTTTCAGTTTTATTTGAACAAAGTATATGCCAACTTTAGGCTTAGATATTAGATTTAAAAACATAGACTATTTTTTTCGATTCCCAGACCCTGCTTTTGAAAACCAAATAAATATGAAAAAACCTTTACTCGCATCACACATTGAGGGAATCATCAAGATTTTTTATCTACGCAAAGATTTTTGTTGTGCGCTCCAAAAATACTAATCTAAACCTTTGGCAAACATAGTAAATTCGCATTTAATCAAGAAGGGTGTTTTTTAATGAAATCTGAATATACAGTGCAGATTCAAATTAACCGGTTAAAACGCGTTAAACTTGAAATTTAAAACGCGTTTTTCTCTAATTGGGTTGAGTTTAGGTGAAAACTTATTAAGACAAAACTTGCTTAAAATTTTAGCAGAATTAATATGGTGTAATGTGTTTTGCGAAATTCGGGCCCAAAATTTTACCCCAAAAATGGGTCATTTTGGTTTTTTTTAGTTATTCAAAAATTACGCCAAAACTACCCAGTCGATCACAGACATACTTATATCAAACTGAGCCTCCTACGTAGCTCAACAAATTTTAAGAAGAGTATATTCTCAAAAACATTTTGTAAGTTAATTTATTTTGTTTGATAGACAAAAAAGGTCGTTTTTACTATATACCATACCAACTATTTATTTAAAAACAATTTTTGAACAATTTGCAGTTTTTTTGGAGAATATACCCTTCTTAAAGTTTGTTGGGCTACGTAAGGGGCTCATTTTGATCAAATTATGTCTGTGATCGACTGGGTATTTTCGGCGTAATTTTGGATTAACTAAGAAAAGCCAAAATGACCCATTTTTGGGGTAAAATTTTGGGCCCGAATTTTGCAGAACAAATTACAACTTTTAACTCTGCTAAAATTTTAAGCAAGTTTTGTCTTCATAAGTTTTCACCTAAACTCAACCCAATTTGAGAAAAACGCGTTTTAAATTTCAAGTTTAACGCGTTTTGTCCGGTTAACTTAAATCAGCACTGTATATTTATTTTTTTGTTTCCATCTGTTTTACGTTTTCCAGCTCCGAAACTTTTTTTCATAAATTTTTTTTATAGTTGAGTAAAAACACTCAATTAATTTTCATTAATGAAGCAGAAATTGCTTTGTTTGAGTCTTTGCTATTTATGAAGGCCATCAAAACTATATTAATTTCTTTCAAGTTTTATAATTGCCCCTTGTTCAGCATCAACTCTTCAAACAAACCAGTTTGCCATAGTTACGAAACAGTTTGAAAACGAGTTTTTTTAAAGTGCAAGGGGAAATTTAAATGCACTGGGGACACCAGAAAAAAAGATCAGTGATATACTTTTTTCAGTTAAAATCTTTTGAAAATGATTGTTGCTCCATTACGAGGCCAAACTATGCACCCTATAGTCTGTATGTTCTTAGATTCAAGAGACAAATCTTTAAATTTAATCCAAAAATAAAGGACTCGACTTACAAAATGTCCAAAGATTCCGCGTAAAAATACCTGTAACTTAAAATTTGTCGGCTCATTAGCTATGTTGCTGATTCTGCAACGAGTGAATATAGATAGTTGTTACGGATTCCGCAAACGTAACTGGATTCCGCAAGTTTTTTCAGATTCCGCTCACAATTTCACGGATTCCGCTTTCAATTTGCTGAATCCGCTTACAATCTGCAGATTCAGCTTACAAATGCGGATTCCATGACAGCTTAAGCTTACATATATTTTTATTTGTTTTTGGATTTTACAAACTGTACCGGATTCCGCAAATTTAATTGCGGATTCCACACATTTTGTTGCGGATTCCGCAAAGTTGCCTGTTTTTAGAGTGATCTTGAGCAATGCAGTGTTTTAGCTATTTTTCCGTGGAATCTAAAATAGCAGAGAATATCACAGAAAATTAGCAATTATGCGGATTCCGCAACAGTTCTGTTTTTGGCCTGTTGCGGATATCACTTACCATTCACAAAACACATAGTGCATCGAAAACAAAGCATTAATCACGCCAAGTTGCCAGCAATTCACAAACAGAGATCAAAAATGTCAAATACCATCAACTTTCGGCACTGTTGAGCCCGTTCTCAGATTCGGCACTGTTGTTCTTTGGCACTGTTGAATGACCCCCTAAAAGCGAGGATTTTTTCAACACTTCGATGAGTTCATTAAATTTTTGTCTTTGTATGAACTAACTATCTGTCAGTTTTGCTTGTTCTCGCCGGATTTGAAACCAAACTTGTCAACGGTTACGAAGTGACAAGCTTTTCAAAAACTACAGTTCATTTGAACGTCTCTCTATTTCGCTTGTTTGACTTTTATTATTAATTGGCGAGTGCTTTAAAAAATCAACATGATACATATATAAAGTGTCTGCAAAAATTGCGGGAAAATAGGTTTTTTAGTGACTATTGAAGGTTTACTGTTCATGATCGACAACGGCATAAGCTGTAATTTATTTGAACATTATTTCCACAAAATGTTTTCGTGGAATATAAAATTTTACCTTATCCATCGCACTATCTAATTTAAAAAAGGTTCAAATTTACTGTAACAAATTTTGAATTTAATCTGCAGTTTATTTATGAAAACAAGGTCGGAATCATTGATTTATTTGCCTACTCAGAATCCGAATACTCGTTTTTATTATGGAAAAATTTCGTTTGTTTGTTCGTAGGACCTCTTCAGGGACACCCCGATTGCATTGATTTGGCCGAAAATGAGTGGATCCAGATTCAGTCCTGTCCACCTGGCCGCCGCTGCCAGAGTAGTGCTTCTGTACAAGTTCGGAGGCATGTACACCGACTCAGACGTCATACTTATGAGACGGTCAGTGTTTAACCCGGGTTGCCGTCATTTCAAGAATAACATCGACCATACATTTTCATGTTTGGGGACTATGGAAACTGCATAGGAAAATGTATAATAAGCATTTTTTCACTCAAATTTGTGGCAGTTTTTGTTTAATGAGAGCAACTTTGGCATCAACAAAATTAGCGTAAATTGTTTCGGGGGTTATAATTAATAGAACGGTCGTTTTGTTTTAAATTATTATAACTTATGATTTCAAGCATGTGAGACCGTTATGTGACCATGTCTCAAACTAAAATGTGTATATTTAGATTTGTTGAATTATACTGGCGGGGATTTACTTTTTTTGCAAGTTCAGAGGAATAAATGCTTCTTCTTCTCTTCATTTCATCACTGTTGTTGTTTTTTTTTGCAGACCCACCTTCGGTCCCAAATTTCTAACTCGCAGTGCCTCCTCCCCCACCTTAATGTTCGCCATCTTCGCCCACCCGAAACACGACCCCCTTCTACTTTCAGCACTCGAGGCCATAGCTGCAAACTACGAAAGGCAAACCAAACAATTCATATTTTACTGTCTAATTTATGAATTAAAAACCTAACAGTTTCGCCAGTTTGACTTTATCAAACTTAAAAATGATAGCACTGTGTGTTCAAAAAGTTTTTAATTGACGAGCGTGAGTACTTTGAAAAATTTTGCCAACCATTTGAAAATTACCTCATTATAAAGAAAAAGCCGAAATCCGAAAAATCTTAATTTTTTGAACCAGTGGGAAGCGCTGGTCGTAAGTTTTCCAAATAGTAGCTTAATTTTAATATGAAAAACCGTTACAAGACCATGTCACACATTTTTTAATATATACGAAAAAGAAAAATATAGAACGGCTTTAATGAGTTTCTTTGAAGGTTCATGTCTGACCTTCAGATATTGCTAGCGGAACTCCTTCGGAGCGAACGAATCAGTGTTATTGCGTTTAGTTTGAAAGAACACACATTTTAAATGAATTCGATTCTTTACTTTTTATTTATAATAAATAAGTTTAGATTAGCTAAGTCAACAAATAATTTTATTAAATGTCTGAAAGTATTTAATTTTTGCAAGTGTCTGGAAAATTGGTCTCGATAGACTAAAAATTGGTAGCGAATGTCTGAACATATGTTAAAAAATTATGGTCAGAACGATGAAGTAGACTTAATTTGATATAAAAAAGTACCAGAAGCGGCGATAGAAACATTGGCCTCTGAGGCAAAACCTGTCACATTGGAATAAGCTCGAACTTCAAACAAATCGGGAAAAAAAAATCCTTTTGGAATACTCCCACTGACACCGAAAAGCGGTTTTTGGAAAAACGATTGTTGGTAAAACTGATATTTGTTAAGTAATCGGAAAGAAGCTCATGGCGATAGCAAAAATTTTTAAACTGTATCAAATATTCAAAGGCCTTATTCAAGGTTTTTTCTTCGGTCTTGGCAATCGGGGAGGCCTCTTCTCAGTCTGAAAAAAATGGTTTCACTCTGCTGAAACCCACTCATAAATTTAGAAATAAAAACAGTAAAATATGTTCAATAGCAACGCGTACACTGGCGTGTCCATTCACTATCACAAAAGAGTGCAGAACTTCTGCCGGACACAGTGTGGAATCAGCCAAAAGAGGCTCTATGACAACAAGACCAGCTTCATGTGCTGTGACATGCAAATAGTCGGTAAGAATCCGCCAGTCTTTTTTCTGGTTTGGAATAGCCCAATTGCTGATTCAGCTTTCGAAGAGACTGATCTGACTTTCGAAGAGACTAATTATTATGCAGGGGTGCTTTTTTATTTACACCAATTTCAAAAGTGTTCGACTTTCCAACTAAATATTTTTTACGGAATTTTCATATTAGCAAAAAATATTGATGCGTCCAGACAACTGAAATTTCGCGTCCAGACAATTCGGTTAAGTTTTTTTCGGCTCAAACATTCAATGACGTGAGGACCAAGACGATCCATGCTTTTTGCTTGAATTTTCTGAAATAAGTTGTCCTATGTTGATATTTTCTTTCGTGGAAAAAAATAACCTAAACATCCATTTTCCACCGTAGACAATTCAGCCGATTTGAAATTCAGACAATTCAGCCAAACGTATGCAGATAACTCAGCTAGAGACAATTGAGCCAATAGTAGTGACCGCCGCACTCCCGCCAATGTGTTGCGAGCTTGCCAACAGAGGGTAGAACTCTATGCAAAATTTAGAGCCGGGTGTCGCCAGAAGGCGGTGCCCATCGGCGACCTTAAACCGAGAAATAACTTCATTCCAATTTTTTTCTTTCGAATCTAGCGTTTTGTAAAACTGGATGAATCCATTGTCTGAATTTTAAATAGGCTGAATTGTCTTTGGCCGAATTGTCTGTGCGTCATAGAGATTTCAAGAAGAAGTTGATTGTGAGTTTTATAGATAGCTTCCAAAAATTGGAGTCTGTCATCAAACACGAAACACGAAGCCTCAACTTTGCATGAAATGTGAATTCATATTTGATTGGAGATATTTAAAAAATGCGCAAACTTAGTTGAGACAGTTCTCCATCAAGATATATCACAAGAACTTTAAATATCAATGAACGAAAGAAACACATTTATTTAAGTGTGTGGTTATCTCAATTTCTATTTTGCGAGTGAGAAAATTTTTAAAGGGATTTTAAATTTTTTACGGTTTTTTACAAATTTTTATTATCATAACATTTTTAACAGATGATAAAGGGTAGCAGCCAGTCTTTTTGCTATGTTTCAAGAATTGTCCGAGTTTTTACTGTTATTCGGCAAAAATGTGGGGGAAAACACTATGCAAAAATGCGCAAAGTAACACCAAAGTAATACCTACTTTAGGTTACGCAAAAGTGCAATATATGTTTTAGGTTCGCTCAAAGTCGCACAAAATTTCATCGGTTGCGCAAATTCGCAGAACACCTATTTTGCGTCGCATTGGTCGCATCGTACACATTTTGAGTCTCAATTGTCTGAACAAAAGTCCCCAACCTGGACCCTGGTAGGAGACAACTTCCTGGATACATCAAATTGTTTACCGTGAAAACTATTTTAGCGTACAAAATCTACATGACTGTCAAACACTGTCAAAATGCTTTTTTTCTCGATCAAAAAACTCCTGAATCGAACTCATCCGTTTTTCCTCAATTGACTACTCAAACAAAGCCCAAAGGTTTTTTTCTCGGTCGAAACGCTTTTTGTTGAAAAATCCTGGGTCGAACTCAGTCGAAACACATTCGAAATTATTTCTCTCTGCCGAAACTCTTCTCGGCCAAAAAACTAGTCGATCTCAGCTGAAACGTTTTTCCTCGGTCGAAATTAGTCGAAACATTTTTACTCGATCCAATTCGGTCGAAATGTTTTTCCTCGGTTGAATATAATCGAAACAAAGGCAGTTTGGGTCAAGACGGTGAAAACATACCAATTTTTGGTCGAGTCGGTCAAAACATAACTCGCAAACCTCTACCCGGGTAATAATTATTAAATTCTCAGAACCTCTAAAAATTAACAAAAAATGATCAAATGACAATTGTTTTCAGCCAGTGCTTTGGGCCACAGCGGCCGTGAAATGAGTCTGGATCAGGCGGAGAAAGCTGGTGGCACATTCTACCACTACGCCAGATCGTTCCTCTGTCTCAACCACAAAAACAAAGACACTGATTTACAGGTATAGTTTTCATAAATAATTTCAAATAATTTCATAAAGAAAAAGGCCAAGTTCAAGCAGTCATTCTTTTAGAAATTGGAGTAGCTTTTAAAACAGGGGGTGTTTGAAACAGAGGAGCAAGGGATGAACAAATGAAGAACTGATGATCAAATAAACGGCCATGTTTTTTTTATCTTAATACAATTTTGTTTCTCGTACAAATAAAAATCAGAAGCCATGCTAATTTTTGAGATTACAATTCTGATGTTTAAATACATACCGGTGAATGACAAGCGTACATGTTTGGGCTCTATTTTTAACTAGACCCGTAGTACCTTGATCATTTTATGAGGAGAGAGCGCTACAAAATCAACACATTGGATACAATTAACTCATTTCACTTCTGTTGTAAGAAATTTCTAATGAACTTCTGCTATTATTGATTGAAGTTACAAGCTTGATTTTTGGTTTATTCCAAGCTTGATAATTCTCAATTTTCGGTAATTAAAAATTAAATCAATGATAACAGAAAACCATAAAGTACTTTTTAGCTAATTTATTTAGCCGAAACTTTATGATAAGTTTTTACTAGAGAAAAAATTGATTAAATTTTTCCAAGGTGTTGATTTTGTAAGCTCTTTCTACATAAAATTATCAAGAATTATGGGCAAAAGCGGATTTAGTGTGATGAGGGCGGATGCCCCCTTTCAGGGTTTCGAACCCCTGCCGACCCAAAGATCCACCTTTGTATTATTTTGAGATATCCATTTTTGGCTGACGGATCCTAAATTTGGCTGACGGAAATACCTGTTGAATGGGTTCAGTTTTTAAACGGGCTCCCAATGCCCATCAATAGATAAGTAAAACGAGAATGTAATAAAATGTCGACTTTTAAATCAGATTTATTAAATTGGATTAAGTCTGTTAAACTCATTTTCAGTAAAAAATCATTTGGAGCAAAAGTGAAACGTTAATTGCTTACGCTAACTTGCCGTCCATTTGTGTCTATTTTTTCAATTACGAGCCAAAAGGCGTTCTTTGTTTGTCTAATTTTCTCCTATGACCGGCGCGAATCTAGGATTTTTGCGAGGGGGGAGGGGCGGAACTCAACAAAGCCTAAACAAAGTTATAAAAAGTGAGTCTGCAATTTTCTGAGGCAAATCTGTCTATGACATGATGAACTTTTATTTCCACTTCTTTGTGAATATATATCAAAGCTAAACTTGACAAGCGATCTACATCCATATTTTGACAGATTTTTAGGTCATCAGTGAAAATTTTTGGTATTTCGCTCTAATCCTCCAGACTTGGAACTCGCTCCCAAAGTCGCCATCCGGCAGTACCTTTTTATACTGGTCGACCAAGTCATCAAAATGTTCTTCAGTTGCTTGCATATTTGTCCGAAATACCGCGAAGAAGGAGCTTGCACATTTTGAAGCAAAACGCGGCAGCCGCTAAGAACCTTTCCTGCAAGTCTAACATCACGAAGTCGATGAAAGGCAGGTAGACAGTCTGACGGAAACGATCGTAGGCTCATTTAGCTGTAGCACGCCGGCCTCTCCGACCCTCTAGTTGGACGTCACCAATTTTGATAGCGTCGGCATGGATCCTTTGATAGCAACCACTACCTTCACCATTCCGCCATTGCTGGAAGAGAAGACGCAAGTCCTTTATGTCAATGGACTCAGTGGACTCAGTCAAGGCTAGGATCAGGGGAACTCTGTCATCTCTGTGGCCTCGGAAGAATAGTCCAAGTCGAGTATTAAATACAATTGTACTGATGGTCGGCACCAAAAACTGCATGTTTCTCTCCATTTCTTTGGCAACCGCTTGGCCGAGGGAAACATCGATGTGCCGCTCTGGGTGCTTGAATGAATCCAGGAAAGCCTGCACTTTCTCCAAAGTCTTTTTGTGATAGGATTTCATCTTATGAGGATCCAAGTAGTTTGACAAGCGTGCAAACTTCAGGAAAGGCTTGTTGACAAGTTGTACTTCGGAAAAACCGCCAGCTTTCCTCCTCGATGTCAGCTTTCCTCCTCCTTCGTGACAACTTCAAATGGCCAGTTTTGCAGTGGGGGTCTGTTTTGAATGTCCAAAAAAGCAAACGTAAACACCACGGTCCATCTCCAGCGAGTTGAAGTTGTAGACTTCTATGTCTATGCAAGCTGGAGACTTCACGGCTTGCACAGAGAGCGGAGATATAGAACAAATCGGTGAAAAAAAATCTTCTTTTATTGTGGCCAAAGGTTCCAGTGGCTCTAGGAGCCTCGAAGGTTCAGGTATGGGCGTATCAGAACTTGGTGACACAGGGTTGCGAGGCTCGGGAGTAGAATCTCTGGATGGGGGTGGTGACTTCTTGGGTCCACTGGTGAAGAAGGCCTTGAGCATTTTGAAGTCACAAGCCTTGGAAGTTCAGCCCAGAGTGCAATGTGATGTCCAGTGAGGAAGATTTTAGAACACCAGAATGGGGGCACCCAAAATTTTTCAGACCTCTAGTACTTTCGGACCTCTACTACAAATAGACAGGCGCCGATAGCGCCCTTTTAAAAAAAATTCGAAAAAAAACAGAGGGGGGCCTTTTGGGTTGCGTCGGTGTCAAATTCCTGAATTGGTTCCACCGGCAATTTTCAGCATTTTTTTGCTAATAGACCCGTTTTTTATTCAAGACTAAAACTGGATACATCTATGTGGGAATCCGTGAATCGATAGAAAAATTCGGCCTGCGAATAATACAACTCCAAACCAAGTTCCAAAAAAGCATGTAAAATGAAAAGAAAAAGACAAAAGAACACACAAACAAGATGAGCATAGAAATTCAAACGCAAATGAAACTCAAGCAGAGCATCTGAAAATCGATTTGTCTCCTCTGTTTGAAATAGTGGCCAGTCGTTAAGCAGAATGGGTCCAAGAGCAGAAGAATAGATATTTTAAGAATTTTCAATATTTTCGAAAAAGCATTATTTTATGCAAAGTTTGAATAACTTAATCGAGATTTTTTTTATAAACTCAGTTTAAAAAATGATAAAATTACTCATTTCATGCATTTTTATGCATTTTCTTAGTTTTATGTGCGATTAATTAATTGTTTTTTTTAATTAGCCCGTATAAATCTGTAAAAGTTGACATTTTTCTGCTTTTCTGATTTTTTATTTATTCGGCTCTTATACCATTCTGCTTTTTGCTCCGCCTCCGTTTGAAGTGTATCAAACTTTGCTGAGTTCATCCGTGTTTTTGTTCCGTTTTTCAAAGAAAGTAAGGATCATTTGCACTTGCGTTGGTTTTTCCTATTCAGTCAATTTGCGGCTGTTTAACTAAGCGTTTTTGACAAACTTTTCAACTACTGAAAATTATTATCATCTTAGTGTCAATTTTAAAAATTTAATTTGTTTTTGCTCATTTTTCGTAAAATTACGGGATTTTGAAAAATGCTAATTAGTATAATTAACCCGCGATAAACTGCGTTCTTGTAACACGCGCAAGCGGCAAATTATTGAGTTCCAAATTAAAATGAGGCCAGCAATTTAGTCTCATTAAAACAATACGAACACCATCTTTATTTTTAACATAGCGTGTGTGGTGATAAAATGAAGAAAAAATGAAAACATAGCTTTTTCAATTTTTTTTCGGATATTTCGTCATTTTTCAGCCAAGTTTTTTTTAATTGACCTCAAAGTGAAGTTGGAACAATCAGGGCTTCGCATTGATATACGAGCAGTCTTGTCTTTGTTATGTTTGTTTATGTTTTAGTTTTTTCTATTGTTCTGAAAAACCAATTTTCGTTTAGGAGGGAAAATTTGCCAATTTCATAATGTCAGCCAAACAAATAATTTGTTTCTAATGGTTTGTAACAGAGGTCATTATTTAGTAGTTTGTTCTGATGCTTGCTGATTTTTTTTTAAAATGGGATTTCAAGCAAGTAACTCTTCACAGCGCTCAAGATGTATGTTTTCCTTAGTAGATTGCTGTTAATGTAATATAAATTACTACGATACAAGTTTTAACGGTAAGATCACTCACAATTATATTCAAACACATCCAATATTTTTCAGATCGAGTGATACCAGGGAAAAAGAAATAAGTTTTTATTTTAGACTAAATCGTTAAACTAAATTGTTTTGTCAGTAAGACGGTGTATTATGAGAATGATTTCTACAAACCTCTTAACTTGAGATTTTATTGAGAAAGAAATGTTGTGGTTGGGAAACATAATCTTGTATAATTTATAATTAGGTATTAGCAGAAATTTTTTATACCCAGTAACCAATTATGTTGAGTCAACTCTTTGTTTTATAGGTGAAAACGTCTGACCACCATGTTGCACAAGTAGCCCGAAAGTATTGTCCAATCACAGTAGAGAACCACTCCAACTTCGTCATCAGCTGCGAAAACCTCGGAAAAAATGGTTTCAGAGGAGAAAAACCATGAAGACAAATGGGCAGCATAGCAGTTTAAAATTCAATTGTTCAATGATTAATTTAATAGTCATTTTACCGAGCTCGATAGCAAAAGCTGACTTCAACAAAACATCCCACACCACAATGTCAAAAAGTTTTGTGCACGCCTTGCTTGAAGCAGGGGCGGATTTGGAGGGGGGCGTACGCCCCTTTTCCTCGGGAATTCGACCCCCTGCCGACCCAGAGGGTCCCCTTTTGTGCTATTTTGAGATATCCATTTTTGGCTGACGGACTATGGCGGACCGTTGGCGCCAACGTATATTAATTTTGAAGGAGTAGCACGCGCCAAAAAATGCTATTTCAAACATTTGCCTGTGGCTCAGAAAATTTGGCCAAAACAGGGCCTTTAGTACTTTGGGAGAGCTCAGAAAATCAATTTGGTCGACCTAAAACAAAGGTCGACAAAATTTTTGATAATTTTTGGAAAATCCGCCCCCTCGAGAAAATCTTAGATCCGCCCCTGGCCTGAAGTATAGAAATCGAATACAGAACTATTTTATGCCATATTAGACCTGTATTTTACCGTAATGGATAATTGATTTAATAAAAATTCAATAAGTGAAACTCAAAATTTGTACTGGGAGTGATTATATATTCTGGCTTATTTTGTTGTTGCGACTGGCAATTAATTCTCTTAAATTTTGATGCAGAACTCAAACTTAATTTCAAGTTTACGTTGAGAGCAGTTAATGATAGAAGAAAAACTTCTAAATGAAATAGCACAAACAGAGGCCACCTCACTTTGCAGTTAAATGCTGATTTTTCATATTTAGGTTATTTGAAACCATTTTGAAACCTGAAACCAATTCGGAAACAGAATTTAAAATAGCAGTCAAAAGTTGTCATACTTTTGGGCAATATTTAAGAAAAAGATTTATCTGGGAATCTAGTTAGAGAATATATCTAGGAAAACATTAATATTCAGGAAGATTTGTTCTATTTGTTCCGACAATAAGTTCTCAGGATGATTCTAAATAACTTTAGCTTCATTTTGATTTTCATTTGAGAAACGAAATTCTATCAAAATCAGACAAGGTTAAAACCAGTAGAAGGAACAGCAGTAAGACAATATGCAGGAAGTTAAATTGCATCAAAAGTATCCGTGTCCGTAATCAGTATCCCTCTTTCATTTCAGTACGGGAACAAATCCGAGTAGCCTGTTAGAGTATGAGAACACACGTGGTGATCATCACGACTGTCCTCGTCACAGGAAATCAACTCGGTTTCCCCATTTAGACGGCTGATACACACAGTGGCCTGGTGAAAAGTTAATTTATACACCTCGGGTCGCAAATCCGAATTACTTTTCGTTTTAATAATTTTTCTGTGCCCGCCTAGAAACCCCATCTCACTCTAAAGAAAAACGCGGGTGATTTTAAAAGTTTTTTCAGTTTGCTTAACTTAATGAAGTTTTAGTTTGCAAAAAAAGGCTTTTAGTTTGCTGAATAAATATGAGTCATAAAAACAATTTAAAATTACGCACTAATAGTCATACAAATTTGAGAGAAAAGCAGAAAAAAAACAATGATTGAGTAAAACAAACTATTGATTATCGAACGAGTAGTTTAAATTAACCTGGTTAGTTTTCGGGTGACCATCTCGCCACATGGAGCTGGTAGATGAGATTGGCGGACTAGTCCATTGGTTCCTTTTTGGAGACCGACCAAGAAAGTATGACTTGAAATGGCGCCGGTATTTAAGAAATCAAATAGTTTATTATTTTGAACTCATTTAGGCGTATGAGTTAATATAAAATCATTAATAACGTCAGCTTAGAACAATTAGAAACTAAATAAACTTTGAAGCTAGATAGGCCTCGCCTCGCTAAAATACAGGAACCGATTTAAAGGGTGGAGGCGTACGCGTTTTGGAACTGGTTTAAGACACCCATTTTCACACACCGACCCTAAAATTTTTCTAAAGGCGCCATTACATACTAATTTTTAAGGGGGAGCACAACGCCACAAATGTGACTTTTTGGTCAAAAGCTTCCATAAACTAACCAGAGAGCTAGCATGCGGTGCATTAAACTTTGACAAAATACAGTTTTTATAGCTCATCCGACGGCTCTTCAGGAAAATCTAGATCCGCCTCAGCAAAAAAAAACTGAATAAGATTTCAACCCTTTGAAATGAAGTTTTGTTTGATTTCAGATTGCTAAAAACTCTTTTAAAGGAGTCAAAAGTGTTAACCTTATTAATTGAAGTGAACCTAAAAAATTAATTGAACTGAAATTTGATCTTACATAGAAACGAGTGTACGCGCAATTAATAAACTAGAAAAGTAAGGTTTTTATTAACCTGAGAATATATCGGAAATGAGATGCATCTCTGAGCGTGTAGCGGAGTGTGCAATGATAGAACTGGAGATAGAACTAGCAAGGGAGGGTTTGAGGGATCGTAACATCAATGCGAGTTAATATTAATTGCTCTTTATGATAAATTGTTGATATCATTGTTTGATATCATTTTTGATATCATTTATGTGAGGAATATGATCTTTTTTTTGAACAAATTTTGAAAAAATGTGGTGATTGTTTCATAAGTTTCTCATTCGTTTATATACATAAGTGTTTCAAATTCAAAATTCAAAGTTTTATCAGAAGTTATCACCAACTTAATGATATACAATGCTAAACACTTATCGCCATTTGGAAAAATAGATTTTTTAGAATCAAAATCTTTTTTTGAACCTTCGGAGTCTGAAAAATTAAAAGAATGACAAAAACTTCATCACAATGAGAACTGAACACGGCGTTTCTGAGATTAAGAAAATAATGCGTAAAAAGACAAAAATAGTTTATAACACAAAGAAGGGTAAAAGGAAAGAAGGTTGCTCTTTTATTTTTATTTTTGCTTCATGATTTGAACAGCTATAGTATGATATGCGCTTAAAATCGTTCAGCTGGTGACCTATTCGAAGAAGCAAGAAACTGGTCAAGGAACATGAGAAATTGAAAACATACATCACGTTCCGACTCTGATATTCCACCGGAATCAAGATTAATTCAGAGAAATTGATCTTTGGCTTTATTCTAAGAGGCTACTTCTTTTATTATCCCTGATGGGCAAAAAATAATAGACAGATTTTCAATGCTAAACTTTTGTTATGAGCCTTTACAGTCACCTGACAAAAAGATAGAATTTCTTTTTTGCAACTAAAGAACTGAAAAAGAAAAACTTCACGCACAACGTAGCCTTGCAATTTTCTGTGAAACTAATTCGTATTCAAAGCTATAATATTGAGATTGAATGAGCCAAACTAACTAAAACGGTACAGCCAGATAAACTAATGTCGATTTCTAGATGTGTTTTTTGGCTCTTCAATCGGAACTGGTTGGAGAAATGTGGAGCTGGTAGATGAGATTGGCGGACTAGTCGCGTCAAGTCCTCGGAAGTTTCCATTGGTTCCTTTTTGGGAGACCGACCAAGAAAGTATGGCTTGAAATGGCGCCGGTGGATGCTTAAGAATTCAAATAGTTTATGATTTTGAACTCATTTAGGCGTATGAGATAATATAAAATCATTAATAACGTCAGCTTAGAACAATTAGAAACTAAATAAACTTTGAAGCTAGATGATCCTCGCCGCGCTTAAATACAGGAACCGGTTTAAGGGGTGGAGGCGTACGCCTTTTGGAACTGGTTTAAGACACCCATTTTCACACACCGACCCTAAGTTTTTTCTAAATGCGCTATTATATACTAAATTTTAAGGGGGAGCACACGCCAAAAATGCGATTTTTGGTCAAAAGCTTCCATAAACTAACCAGAGATAGCATGCGGCGCAGTAAATTTTGACAAAATACAGTTTTTATAGATCATCAGGAAAATCTAGATCCGCCTCAGCAAAAAAAACTGAAAAAGATTTCAACCCTTTGAAATGAAGTTTTGTTTGATTTCAGATTGCTAAAAACTCTTTTAAAGGAGTCAAAAGTGTTAACCTTATTAATTGAAGTGAACCTAAAATATTAATTGAACTGAAATTTGATCTTACATAGAAACGAGTGTACGCGCAATTAATAAACTAGAAAAGTAACGTTTTTATTCACCTGAGACTACATCGGAAATGAGATGCATCTCTGAGCGTGTAGTGGAGTGAGCAATGATAGAACTGGAGATAGAACTAGCAAGGGAGGGTTTGAGGGATCGTAACATCAATGCGAGTTAATATTAATTGCCCTTTATGATAAATTGTTGATATCATTGTTTGATATCATTTTTGATATCATTTATGTGAGGAATATGATCTTTTTTTTGAACAAATTGTTTCATAAGTTTCTCATTCGTTTATATACATAAGTGTTTCAAATTCAAAATTCAAAGTTTTATCAGAAGTTATCACCAACTTAATGATATACAATGCTAAACACTTATCGCCATTTGGAAAAATAGATTTTTTAGAATCAAAATCTTTTTTTGAACCTTCGGAGTCTGAAAAATTAAAAGAATGACAAAAACTTCATCACAATGAGAACTGAACACCGCGTTTCTGAGATTAAGAAAATAATGCGTAAAAAGACAAAAATAGTTTATAACACAAAGAAGGGTAAAAGGAAAGAAGGTTGCTCTTTTATTTTTATTTTTGCTTCATGATTTGAACAGCTATAGTATGATATGCGCTTAAAATCGTTCATCTGGTGACCTATTCGAAGAAGCAAGAAACTGGTCAAGGAACATGAGAAATTGAAAACATACATCACGTTCCGACTCTGATATTCCACCGGAATCAAGATTAATTCAGAGAAATTGATCTTTGGCTTTATTCTAAGAGGCTACTTCTTTTATTATCCCTGATGGGCAAAAAATAATAGACAGATTTTCAATGCTAAACTTTTGTTATGAGCCTTTACAGTCACCTGACAAAAAGATAGAATTTCTTTTTTGCAACTAAAGAACTGAAAAAGAAAAACTTCACGCACAACGTAGCCTTGCAATTTTCTGTGAAACTAATTCGTATTCAAAGCTATAATATTGAGATTGAATGAGCCAAACTAACTAAAACGGTACAGCCAGATAAACTAATGTCGATTTCTAGATGTGTTTTTTGGCTCTTCAATCGGAACTGGTTGGAGAAATGTTCTGGATGGGCGCGTGCCTACGACGCTATATAAACCCACTGAGAGGGGGTAGGGCCCCCCTCGGAACATTTGACATTTGGCCAGTTGAACGTTCCTACTTTTTTTAAAAAAAAAATTAGTCGGATGCTCAAATACTACCCGCTAGAATTCCCTAATTTTTTCCCTAGACCCGGGAAATAATTGCAGTTTGTTTATGCCACTTTTTGGTGGTTTTATTTCTGAGATGGGTTTTGGTGATTTTTGCTCTTTTCCCAACGACCCCAAAAAGTGAATTTTTCATTTTTCTCTAAATCAGTAAATTTTTTGGCGTTGGTCAAGAAGAACTTTCTATTAGTGCCTAAGAAATGTTGTATGATGCTTTAAACTGTTCGGCATATTTTGTTTTGCTTTCGCGAAAGCATAAAATTTCACTTTTTAAGAGGGTCATCTGAGAGTCGAAAAATGAAAAATTTTGTAAGTTGAAAATAATGGATTCTGATATCAAAAACGAGTTTCCCGTTGGTAAATATGTCAGCTAACGAGGCAAAAACGCTGAAAACTTCTTTTTTTTGGAGTTTTTTTGCCTTTATAACTTTCTTATTTGGTCGTTTAACCGAAATTTTGTGTTAGAAAAAAGAAATTTTAATTCAGATGTCTTACATTAGCTTCTTTAGTTTAGGTCATATATAACCAGATGGAAAGCTTGAACTACTAGCATTCATTGTAAGCTGCCGCAAGTCTTTATGATTTGTTGTGAAAAATAATGAAATTGCTGAAGCTAATACGAAAAAAAAGCTGAAAAAAGTCAAAAGAAATTTTTAAAAAGTTTTTTTTTGCAGATTTTGTGGGATGCTCTGTGGGCCCCTTAGGGCCAAATAGAGGAGCATCCGACTAGGAAGTATCCAAAAATTGTCCGCCCTACCATCCGCCCTGCCATCCATTCAAAATTGCGGGATTGTGCGCATATTAAGACTAAAATTACGCAAAAATCATGCCAAGGTAAGGAGGGTGGGACGCTGACCTGACTGGCTAGATGCCCAAAAAACCCTTAAAAATTTTTCTTGACAATTTTTCTCTTAGTATGGCCACACATAATTTTCCTTCAACCTTAAAAGAAAAAAAATTACTCGGCAGCAAACAAAATCTAACTCAGAATTAATAAACTTATTAAACGTTTTGCAAAAATTTTCGTGTAGAAGCATAATACATATTCAAGTTCCTTCTTATATTTTGGTAAACTTAGACAAAAATTTAGCCTCAAAATTAAAAAGTTGTCAAGTTTCTTTTCATGCTAAGAAAATTTTTGTCTCAAAAAAATCGTGTAAAAGCGCAGTTGTTTCAAATTCTTTCTTATATTAAAAGAATTTAATGGGAGGGCCTAGCTGTCATTTGTCAGTCTGAGAAATGATTTGAGCCATGGTACCCCGAGGAACCGGACAAAAAACGACCGAGAGCAATGGTTTGAAATTTGTTTTTGTTTATTGTTTAATTTTACCCAATAGACCAAAATTTTTAAATAAGGGAAGTGTCATACGGCGTAGTATCCAATTTAAAGGTTGGTGTTGATCGTTTGCAGTCTAAGTTTCTACTGTGTTGTTACCTGCCAGTGCTAGTGAACTAATCACATTTTTTTTCGACATTCTCTCATCACTGTTGAAAGGTAACAGTCGATACTATTTATTCTAATTCGCAACCAATTCGATATCCATATCAATTTACAAATTACTTTTGCCTTTTGGATAATTTTGAAATGGAACTTTTTTAGGGATATCTCACCCTATAGAAATCTCATTTAGGGATATATCACATAGAATTTTTTCTATCACGATTTTTGGTAGAACAGCCAAAAACTACCAAGAAACTGAGATAATTCTTCCGTTGAAGTTTCTAAAAATGTTTTCATCCATCATCAAGTGATAAACTTAGTTTTAAATCTCAAGTTTTAAAGTTGTTTTGATTATTTTTCATCTCCGGTGACCAGTTTAACTTTTCTGAAAAACCATGATATTCTGATGTAATCACTTCTTTAAGCGAATAATGTGTTTTTTCGTTATTTCCCGAATATTAATGAAAATCTTGAAGAATCAGAATAACTCTGTTAATTGATTTTCTGATTTATTCAGCTATTATTACCTAAATAGTTCTTAATTTTTATTGATCTCAAGGCCGAAGATCGAAACTATTTGAAAGAAAAATATATGAAAAATAAAGGAAAAATGTTCATATATTTTTCATATATTTTTCTTACAAATAGTGGAGTTTCTGCGTTCTGTGCTACGTTATTAAAAACCTGCTAATTTGCCTAATTAAATATTGATATAAATAAAGCTATCATAATGATAGTGATTTTATGCTATGTTTTTTGAAACATTTTGTGCATTTGTTGCTGTCAGTTGGTGTACCCTTTGAACATGAGTAGCACATCATCTGCAGTTGATTGCGTGAGAATAAACACCCTTGATAGAGTAAGAACAATACTTCGTTTAAAAAGCCGAGTCTGGCAATTTTGGATTTCAAAATTTCATAAAAATTACATTACTGAAAAAGTTAAATGCTTTGTTTCAGATGAAATTATACTAAAAAAAAATAGTCAGCCCGACCTGAGTCCATTTGGGCTGCCGAATTTTTAATATTCAATTCGGATATAGTGACTGAGTTTAAGTCCACTCTAATGTCTTAATAAGGTGTTCTGAATAAGTGACAATAAGTTGTCGTCGATATTACGATCCCTACTGTGCACATAGTGCAGTCAGTTCTTCCAGGGTAGTTTTTCCCTCATTTCAGACAGAACAAGTACGGTAGATGAAACTCGAAAAACTAGACGGGTTCTAGCAATAGCGGGTCGAGAGATTCAATAAAAAAGACCAAAAACGTTGTTCTTACTTATTTTTTAAGGCCTAGTCCGTTGTACTGGCTTTAATTTTTTCCAGAGTTCACGTTTTTTTGCGGAGAAAAGAAAAAAACTTCGTCTGGGCTCCCTAGAAAATGATCCATTAAGAAAAGTCTATCCGGCCAACCCAAAAATAAAATAAAATACATTTTGAACTGCATTTTACTAGTCCTAAATCTGCCCCCATAGAAAGAAATTATTGTAAATAAACTGATTTTTGCACTTTTGGCTATTACTGATGCTTAAGTATGAATCAATTTGAGGAATGGAAAAAGCGTTTCTTTTTGCTAAGATCATAGGTCATTTTATTTTGGGTTCCATCTATCATATTTGTTCCTCGACACGACCCAGTAGCACTTGTCGAAATAAGAACTGGGATATCCACCCTCCCGCTCACATATATTGCGATCTTTAATCTCAGCTGGAAACAAACAAAATCGAACAAAAAAACAATAAAAAAGAGGACATTTAAAAGCATTTTTTTTCAATTGTAGCCCCAATTTCTGTGACTAGTATAAACGATGCTTCTATGTGAAAATGTGATATCTATGTAATATCAAATTTCCATGTGATGTCAAACTTCAGCTGTTTTGAAGTTGAAAAAAAAATACTTAACATTAATTTGAATATTGGGTCGTTACCATCACTCCATGACTTCGGACAAACATCGTGCAGACCTGGAACAAAAACTGGCTAAACATCAAATTGATAACATTGGTGAAAATCTAATACTTTCCAGTTTTAGAATAGAGCCATTAGTCGCATGAACTAGTACTTGAGTGTAAGTCACCAACGCTAAAAAAAGATGTCATGTACCGACAGTAGACTTTCAGGTTGACCTCAACAGGCTGAAAAAGCTTATCAAAATTCCTGGTCTACATTCTATGGAGAGAACGCTTATTACACCATTTTGTTAAATGGACAACTGATAGTAGGTTTCAGTAGAAACTTCTTAGTACTTCTTAAAACTTCTTAGAAATTGTAATGCTTAATTATGGCATCCCCTGACTAGGCCTATCGGGCCTTTTGATGTCGTTGCATATCAGAATTATGTAAATTGACAAATGTCTGTTTAATTATCTCTGATATGGAAACAATTTATTATTATGGTTCTTATGATTATTATGATTATAATTATTATGAAAAATTTGATGGTTATAGAAAATGCTTAAAAAACTTTTCCAAAAAATTGATAATATATAAATTCTATGAATGTGTATTTTTACATTACTAAAAACTCCAAAAATAGGGAAAGTTTTGAGTTTTTTTTGTTGGTATTAAAATTTTCTCTATGCCGAATTAAACACTTACTCAAGCAAAGTTGCGCGCTTTTTTAAATGTTTTTTCTATAATTGAGCCCTGATGCAATCCTTTCACACAATGATAGAATCAAAAACCATAACAAATGTTTTGTGTGAAACAGGGGCGGATTTAGGGGGGGGGGGACTCCCCCCCCTCAGGGATTGGACCCCTTGCCAACCCAAAGGCCCCCCCCCCCTTCGTACAATTTTGAGATATCCATTTTGGTGACGGGCCCTAAAAATTTCCTAAAGGCGCATTTGGTGCCAATATATACTTACTTTGAGGGGGGAGCGCAATACTTTCCAAAAAGTGCTTAAAAAACGCCTTTTTTTTGGCCTTTTTTCAAAGTTTTGCCTGCGGCGCAGAAAACTTAAACAACCAAAACAGGGTATTTTTACTGCTTTGGGAGAGCTCGGAAAATCAGAACGGTCGACCTAGAAAAAAAATGTTAAGAAAATTTTCGATAATCTTTTGAAAATCCGTAACCCCCATTCCACCTCCCCCCGCTTCGAGAAAATTCTAGAACCGCCCCTGGTGTGAAACAACAAACTTCTTTGCATTCAATAACACATTTCTACCAACATGAAAAAATAATGAATCTTAGAAAAAAGGAGCTTTGAAAATATGAGCATTCTAGCCATAACAAAAAACACCTGGCAAAAAACTTAGTTGGCAAATCTCGAAATGCAGATAATCGTCGAGAAAAATTACTATTCGACTATGCAGAGCAACTAATTTTGCCTTAGTATTATTGCAGCAGTTTTTACGAAAAGAAAAGAAAGCTATAATATATATCAAACAATATCTTTGTTGATGAATTTCAATTTCTTCATATTTTGCAAAGCCAAAGAAAGCATTTTTTCTATTTTGCACTTTTTAGGAGCCTCCGTGAACAACTGAAAAAATATTGATTTTTGAAATCAGAACCACCCAATCGACTTTTTTGCGTTATAGAAAACTTGGAACTATAATTTGAGTCGACAATTGTTTCAGAAATAATTCTTTTCATGATTTTAACAAGGATAGCCGGCTGTTGTGCAAGTAGCACAGAAAGTTCCGACCATGTTCACAGAATTTTTTCAAGTTGGTGTCTTTTCCGTACACTGTGTGAGGAGAGAGCCAAACAAACGCGTATCAATTTGGTTAGTTAGGCATAAACGACTACAAATGTTTTCAAAAAAAAAAAAAAACTTGGAAATTTTTTCAAAATAAGTTTTTTCTTTTTTTGCACAAAAAACTTAAAAATTTTTGAAGATTTTTCTGCCAGAAAACTGCTATAGAAGACCTCAAAGACAATATATCTTCTAGTAAAATCATCAATTTTCAGCCGAAATTGGTAATTTTCATACATAACGAACTTAACTCGATCGCTTTACTCGCTCGAAAATCGACTAAAAGAATGAAAAATGTTAAAGCAATTTTACGGTACTGTGATTTTTTCGGACGTTTTTAAATGTCTTTTGAACCACGCTTGAAAGGATTTTGACATGTTAAATCACTCAACCCAGCTCGATAATTTTTTGAGGTACCTGATTTTGCTTGGAAGAAAAAATAAAACACCCCTGAATCCAAAGCTTCTCCCCATTTTCAATGGTCGGAACAATAAGACATCTGGAGGTTTTTAAGAGATATATTGTTCAAAAGTAGCCATTTTAAAAGTATCGTCTAGAACAAAAAATGAATATAATTGCTACCTGCTCGCATGTTGATTTGTTCTCGTTTGAAGAATTGTGAGTCCTCGTTCAATCTAAAAAACAGGACTGTTAGTAATTGGATAAAAATCTAAAGAATTTGACAGCCTCTTAAGGTTTTTCACATAACAATTACTGAAGACACTGTTAAGTTTTTGGAAAAAAAAACAAAATATATTGAAAGCTTAGATAAACTTTGCGTCTATTAAAGCAAGATTTGAATCAATTGGTTTGCATCAGCTTAGCTCGATTTGAGTTTCACTGCAGTATATTTAAAAACAAACTAATAAAAAATTTAGCGCATAAGTTACATCAGATGGCTAAAATGGCTGTTTTGAAGCTCTCATAACTTTCCAAAACAAAAGATCTCAGTGATTCCAGCGACAAATCTTTAAAAACGTTCCTAAATGTAAGTGTTTTTGTTTTTCATTTTTTCCCCTCAGGATCCCAAATTCTGTCAGCGGGTATCTCTAATTTGAAACAATGACTTTTTTCTCGTAAAAACACACCGAGCACTAATATGCCGTAATTTTTTGAAAAATCAGAACAAGAACGATCAAGAACTCTTTGTTATTCATTGTTTTTCCATCTTCCGTAGAAACAATAAAACATGACTGATTGCTGCTTTTTTTTATCAGGCAAGCTTCATTTTTCGATTACCCATTTTTTGAAGAAAAATTTTATACAATTAAACGAAAACTTTCATTAATATAAAAGTTTTCCTTTTAAGCGGAATGATTCTTGCGCACAAAATTTCAAAGCTTCTACAAACGCATGGCGGTGTCGGTCAAATACTTTGGTTAGCACCCCAAAAATCCATTTAAATTGAGGGATCTCCTTACTTATTTTTTCACTGGGGTACCTAATAACGAACTGCAATCACTATAAAATAAAATTCAACAATTAAACATATATAGTTTTTATACCTAATAACGAATCTCTCCACTTTGCAAAAAGGGGAATTAGTTTTAAAATCCAAGTTGATTTTGGCTATTGGTTTCATTCAATTTTTCATTTATATTTTCAAAATGAATTATTGTTTGTTTCAATTGAGGGGCAGCGAGTGTAGGTTAAGACTTTTCAAATCAAAAAACAAATAGTGCAATTGTTAAAATGCTTGAGAATTTTGTGCCAAAAGTTAAATCAAACACTCCAAAGGATAGTCGAAATGATCGCAGCTTAATTTTAGCGGGAAAACTTATGCTATCACATGAAATGAACTTATCGGGTTAGTTAATGCATAAAACTGATTCTATATATCGATGAAAAATGAAATCTATCCTAAAAATGTCTTGAAAAGTTTTAAAAAAGTCTGATATTTTTTTTTGTTCTTGAAACCGAAGGGTTTTTTTACACAAGACAAGATGTCAATTATAAAGTAAATTTCTTCGCAAAATCGCAATGTAGCGTGATAACGCAGCACGAAAATTGACTTTTTTTGTATTGTATTCCAAGTTCAGACAATTCGGTCTCAGACAATTCAGCCAGTTTCGAATTCAGACAATTCAGTCAAAATGAGTGAGACGATTTAGTCAAAAACTATTCAGATAACTTTAAAGTTTTAAAACGTTTGCGCAAAAACTTTTCACTTGCCGCAAAGAATTAGATTTTAAATAAAAATTTTATAATGAATTCTTGCAAATGAACATGAAACAAATAAAATTAAAAGAATCAAAAGTATCGAAACATATAAGATTTTTATACAAACCATAAGTTAGACATGGTGCAATTGAAAAAAAAAATCACTCTTGGTGTGTGCTCTGTTGCCCAACAAAACTCAAGACACATTTTTTTCGTTCTCGAAATCGATTTGTTTTTACAAATGACATGATGTCAATTAGACAGTAAATTCCGCCGCAAAATCACAATGTAGCAAGAAGGTATCGGAGCAAGAAAACGGACTGTCTTTTTATTGTATTCCGCGTTCAGACAATTCGGTCACAGACACTTCAGCCAGTTTTGAGTTCAGACAATTCAGTCAAAATGAGTGAGAAAATTTAGTCAAAAACTATTCAGAAAAATTAAAATCTTGAAACGTTTGCGCAAAAACTTTTCACATGCGGCAGTACATTAGAACTTTAATTGGAAGACGTATAATTAATCCTTGCAAATGCACATGAAACAAATGACTTTAAAAAATCAAAAGTATCAAAACTTAATAGAGCGTTATACAACCATAACTTATACATGGTGCGATTGAAAACCAATTTCCAGTCTTGGTGTATGCTCTGCTACCCAAGAAGACTCATGACACATATAAAAACTTCTCGGCTGCTTACAGCAAATGGTAAGAAAAGCGAACATCGACTTTGAAACCGCTGTTTGCAACGCCATTAAGAAACTGCAGCCTGATACACTTGGGCCAGGCTGTATGGTGCAATTTACAAAAACTTGCATTTGCGTGCAAGTACACGCATGATGGATGACGGATGATGGAAGATGATGAATTTCACCTAAAGGTCAAAGCAAAATGATTTGATTGGTACTCGTTCCCGTTGACGATGTAACATTCGCAATTGAGGAGCTGCGAAAAGAAAACCCTTCGGAAGAATTTCAGAGTCTAGCAGACTACTTTGAAGACACCTATAATGGTGCCTGTCGAGGAAACAGACGCGTCAAATCAAAGATTCACTTTGCCGATTGGAAGGTTTTTAATCGGGTGCTCAGCGATCAACCTCGTATGAATAATGCATTGGATGCATGGAATTGCATGTTCAATAATTTCGTGTAAACAAAGCACCCAGACTTTCCCAACCTCATCAAACGTCTCAAAGACGAGCAAAAAATGCCGAAATTTATCTAGAAAGACTGCTGGCCTGCGATATCGTCAGAAAAACGAAGCCCAAATTTTCAATCGCCAATAGAAAATAATTACAATCGAGATCATGAACAGATTTATTTAATTCCTTGTACTTTAAATCCTAAAACTTTATGCATAGCAAATTTGTTCTGATTTTTGAAATTTGTTATTTGATGTTTCACATTTTATTATTAAAGAGTTGAAAGCCTTCCGACTCTAATCAAATAAGAAAATGATTTAGTCTCTTTGATCTTTTTTGTCCGAGTTGTCTTCGGCTGAATTGTCCGAGGTTGTTGGCTGAATTGTCTGTATTTGAAATCGGCTGAATTTATTCAACTGGCGTAGATGGCAAAGATGGCTTCTTACAAAAAAGCCACATTTTTTTTCTACTAACCAGCCAGCGCCTTCTCCCGAAACTTAATTATTTAAGGTTAACTAGGCTATGGCTATCTTACTAGACAAGAGTTCGCCCTGCAAATTGCAGCGCACGAGCGATTTGAGCCCGTAATCATATGATTGTTAGACATCGTCATTACCGCTGCGCCACTCTTGCCTAGTAATGCCAAATTAAACTCACTGGTCGATGTGTGTCTCCACTAGTTTCACATTGGAGTGGGCCATGACCTGGGCCACGACTAGGGCCACTAGAACTATGGTCAGCAGTATGTACTTCACCCTCTTCATGTTCTCCTTGCACTCCTGTACATCCACTGGATTGGTGTCTCCACTCCCGTAGAACATGTAGTTCATCAACATGTCTTCCACCATCTCATTCTCTTCATCCGATTTTTCTTGGCTCTCATTTGGCTCACTTGTTGACACGCCACCCAAAATCAACCAATGAAGGAAATAAAAATTAGTTCTATTTTTTCCAAAATATAGAATTTGAGTTTAGTTCCAGGGCGGCTTTCTCAAAGAGTAATTTGGGATAAAGTACACCGTCTGTTCGTCACGCTATCTTATTTTCGGCCGGATAGATTCGTGCAACTTCTTAGTCTAATACCGATCCTAATCTTACTCTTATATCTACTAGTCTCAATAGATCTAGTGTATACTGGTAATCTTGCGAGGTTAAAGGAGAGGAAGATCAACTGCTTTCGAAATTAAATTGATCCCGAAAGATCAACTGAAGTTGATCCCGAAAGATCAACTGCTTTCGGGATCCCGGGTCGAGATCCCGCTCAAAAACCGCTCAAGATATGAGCGGTTTGAGCGGTTTTTCAGCAAGATTTGAGCGGTTTGAGCGGTTTGGGCGGTTTGGGCGTTTTTTTTTGGAAAAATCGCTCAAACCGCTCAAATCTTGCTTTAAAAACCGCTCAAAAACCGCTCATTTTTTGCGGTGATTTTTGAACGGTTTTTCAAGCAAAATTTGAGCAGTTTTTGAGCGGTTTTTGAGCGGTCTTATAAAGAAAACCGGTTAAAACCAACAAAAAGGCCTGGAAAGGTAATCTGACCCCGGGTTGACCTCCATAAACCGAAAATGCTTATTTTAAATTTCCCCACACCGAAAAAGCTTATCATACAATTGCCTGCATCAAATGTATGGAAACATGCTAATCATACAATTTTTAATTTTCATACTTAGTTCTAAGTATTTTACAGTGATAGTTATCAACAATATAATTGGATATATAAAATACTTGTTTTGAACTGGCTCCAAAATATATGATAATCATTTTTTGTAAACCCGGGATACTCCGATGTTCACTGACCTTCGTGGGCAGTCACTCTTTCTTTCGCTCCCTCAGTAACTTTCATGACTGATGCGGCGTCTCTCGTGCCCCTGTCGTGTTTCACATCACTGCTCATGTTGTTTTTATTGTTGTTTTTATTGTTTTTGTTGTTTATACCAGAAGTTGACGGCGTCAGCTTTTCCGAAGCGACTGAACCAGAAAAATCCATCAGCTGTTCATTAAAATTAAATCTATATAACTTTATGTTAAAAATAAAACCAATACTGTTATTGTGTGCATAAATTTTTTTTTGCAAATCAGTGGGCAGAACTGTTTGATTTCAAATGTTTGCAAATCTTGGAAGCTTTGAAATTATGTTAGTTTATTAATTAAAACGATTTACCACAAAAAATGAGAAGCTAAACTTTAGAATGCACTATTTTTGGTGAAGATTGTTTTAACGCCAATTAGAAGATTTTTTGTTTAAAAAAGAAGATAAAACAAAAATGTTATCCAATTAAAACTGAAGTTATCGCACTTGAAATAAATTCATTGAAAACGCATAACTGATATTTTTACTTTGCTTCAAGAAATCGAGTCGGTGCATCATTATGAACACATGATGAAAACCGTTTCTCTGTTACTGGCTGCATTTTTACAGCTCAATTAAAGATGTTTTTTTTTGCAAAAAAATTGTCAATTTTTTTAACATGAAGCCTGAAAAAGATCTCCTTACTAATGAAAAAATATTCCCTAAAATCAAATATTTTCTTTTCATGTTCTCATGAAATGATAACTGGGGATCAACAACTTCGTTAAAAGGTCAAAAATTAGTAACATCAGTGAAAACATTACCACGGCGATTGAACATAACAGCAGTTGCCTACAAAAGAAACAACGATCTCGAATACCGACTGTATTTTACCCGTACCGAGAAAGCTCTATATTTCTGACCTGAAATATTCGATATCTAATCTAAATTTCTGGTCAGAAATTCCTTGTGAAATGTTTAAATAAGGCAAGGATTTTTTCAGAACTTTTTATTTCTCATCTTATATCTGATCAGAAATTTGTTAAATCTAGGCTATTTCTAGCGAAAAAGAAGTACCTTTTTGGGGCTCGAATCCCCCACTAGAAAAGAATTAGATCATTTTTGCACAGAAAATGAGCGAAAACTCGGCTAGATAATCTACAAACTTTCTATTAGGAAAAACGGCCTCTGTCGGGTACTCAAAAAACAACCTCTTGTTTAAAACAACGCTGTTTTCTGAGCGAATTCAAGATCATTTGGGGTAGTTACTGAACGGATAAAAGAAGAAGTTTTTATCGTTGTTCGTTATCCCCTCGGAAACTTCAAAATGACTTAATAATTTTAATTCAGCCTTTTGATTTGTGCTCATTTCGGACCCGATTGCTACTTTTAGTGGCTATCACAAATATTTTCAGCAAAAAATAGCAAAAAAACTTTGGGACAATTTTTTCTACTACCAAAAAAATCATAGAAGAATAAAGACGTTTAGCATCCGTCTTCTAAAAAAAATGGCAAAGAAGATTGCTGCGTACAAAAAGCTACAAATAACTAAAACAATGCAAATAGCCGAATCCATTTGTTGTCAGTATTCTAATCAGCTAAAAAATAGATTAGTCTGAACATCAAAAACACTCAAAACTAAACTACAGCTGTTTATTTTTGACATTGACTCTTTTGCGAAAATAACTTCATCAAATCGGACTTTTCTGAAAAACCTTGAGGTATTGCTGTGGCAGTAGTCATAACTGATCTGAAGAGTCCATACTAATATAAAGTAATTGCCCGCAAGATGAAGGTCAGTATGCAATTCAGAACCAAGATACATGGTTAGATTCCTTAATTTTTACCATCGATAACAGTCTATGTACCAAATGCACACTTTTTTAAAAATGACTGTTTGTAAACTTTTTGATTCAGTTATTCGATCACTGAAATTATTCAAATCAAACCAGTGGATAACCTTTGGCGCAGCCAGCAGCACTTGCAAATCAAAAAGCAAACGGAATTGCGAATCCCGGTGTAATGGGCAAAGGCTTCATTAGACCTACCAAGACTGATAAAAACAAGGCTATAATTATTCTTGACTGCAATGATAGTGAAACGAGCCTGAAGTAATATTAGAACGACTACCTAGACCGCCATCACTGAGGACCTCAGAGTCAATAACTACAGAAGCAGCCAAAAAAGAACTAGATAGACTAGCAAAAGTCAAAGTTGAGCGCAAAAACAAAACAGAATGAATTTAAGAGGACTTGAAAATAAATTGGAAGTACAACAAAAATTAGTTACTTTGACATTCATGACCTAGTAACATCCACTTTCGAAAAAAACCATTTGTGTATTATACGAGAAGTATAAATTATTTATGAAAGCACAAGAAAAGACGAGTCATTGGAAATATTTCACGCAGCACAAGTAGCTAAATCGGAATCGGATTTCTGGAAACCGAAGCGATTTGGGATCTAATCATCTCAGAAAATCAGAACATAACATCGTAATTTGAAAAACTGTCCCGGAAGTAGTCGAAAGAGGACAAAATTCCACAAAAAAGGATTCCAGAAAAGGATTCCAGAAAAGAGACTACAGAGGTATTTTTGTTTCAAGCTAAGGGGAAAATGTTCAAATAAAAAAAAGCTAACAGTAAAACCATTCAAAAATATCCGGATCCGAGTGTTAGAAAAAAGAACTTGAACGAAAAAGAACAAAGAAAACATACTGTAGAAAAACAAAACAAATAAACTGTAACAGCAGCCCAATTTCACTATTAATAAATGGAAATATGAAGAGACCCGAAACGAGGGAAACGAAAAACAATCAAAACTGGGGTAAGGCTCGATGACCAAACTCTACGTATGACGATAGATTCAAAAAGTCAGAAAACTGGATGACAGCCAATAAATATATCACAGTTTGTTGCATTCAAAATGGGCAAAAAGCTAAATATGAAAGCACAATTTGAGGATTACCAGAAAATTGATAAAAATGCAAAGCTTTGAAAACAAAAAATAAATTTAACGGTTAGAGTTAGCTTGCTGATAACTGAACGAGGAACAAGTTGCATTTCAGGCTTAGACATACAAAATACCTAGATATCACAACTTCTGGAAGAATGGCTAAAAAAGTGTTTTTTTTTGGGTTTGGGTTGATAAAATGTAGAAAAACTTGTTCCCTACGAAATTTAAAAACATGTTCAATAAACAGGGAATATAGAAAAATTAGTTAGTGACATCAAAACTTAAGTTCTTTCTATGTCCAATTCAGAAAAATCTTGTCGATAAAGAAATAGAAAACTTGAAAAAGAAGGATATCAAAATTATTCGATGAGTACACGTCATCGCTTCATCACATTGATTGTGATAACAATAAAAACAAAATTACAACAAAAAACTAGAAAAATTACATTGAAAAACTAACAAATGCTCGCAATTTATAGACAGTGTAGCCATTTTTCTAACGAGGAAAGAAGGTAATTTGTTTTTACAGTTTCAAATCTCTGACACAACTAATTCAAACTAGCTGCAGAAACAGAGAAACGATGTAGTTTCATCCTTGTTGGGATAAAAGCGACTGAAAATTACAGGTCTTTCGCAGGATTGTACAGACTAGCAAACAAGTCAAAAAAGTTACACAAAGCTGTGGAGCAAAAAAAAAATGAGCCAGTAAAACGTTCTACTTCCTAAACAACTTTCTGACTGTTCTAAAAGTCTATTCTACTTCTTTGGTGTGACCGCTATTAAAAAATGATGTCCTGATCAGTATAACTGGAACAGCTTTATATGTATTCTAACCAACCCAACTTCAAATTGCCAACCATATCAGTTGAAAGGGTTGCACCGAAACAGAGCGGAGACCGGCTTAGTTAATTGAGCCTTGTACCACTTGCATATTGCATGAAGGGTGAAACTCAGAGTCCACAGAGAATTGCGACCAACAGTACAAAGAAAATCGGGACCAGATTGCAAACAGTTGGCTTTTTGTAAGGGAACCTCGGTGGCATCAATTCGGAGGCTGTTTCCAGTTTCCTTTGTCGGTACGACTACCCTGTGTTGGGGTGACTACATGTTCGGGTGACTACACCAGTGCAGTTTGTGTGTGAGTGACTACCTGTAATGGGACAACTACCCTGTGTTGGTTTTGTTTACATGTTCGGGTGACTACCCAGTGCAGTGTGTGGGTGACTGACTACCTGTGTTGGGACGGCTTCCTCTTCGGGTGACTACACCAGTGCAGTGTTTTGGGGCAAGTACCCAGTGTGGGAAGGAGAGCCATAAAGCAGTTGCCAATGCTGAGTAAAGACAAAAAACTGTAAGAAACTCCCATACCCCGTTTTCGTGTGATCTCGTCGAGAGAATCAAAACTTACCAAAA